TTGGTGGGTTTTCCGTTTTTTTTTTAAGGATGGAATTTATAGGAAAAATCCGAAAGGAAGAAATTTGCATAACTAATAGGAATTAGGAAATTGACAATAAAATATTGAGGAAAGCATTAAACATCAACATAAGAAGATATTACATGCAATATACAAAACTTTTAAATCTAAAATCCTGGCTAAGGACGCCTAAAGTGGTCACACTGAGAACAGGCGCTTAACTGCAGCTTTTGCAGGCTGTTTAAACCAACATATGAGCACATAGAAGGCATACATGACAATGCACTAAGAAAATTAAAAGCTGAGGAAAATCTTTACAGCATCTCTCCTTTTCCTAATTTACTATACAAACTTTTAAGTTAATATAGTTTTGATCTCATTAGTTATTTATAATGAATTCTGTAAAAGCAAGGGCATCAAATAAAAAAGTCTTCTGCTTCTGCATATATTAGATTTAGTACTCTATTTGCTACATGTACATGAACTGGAGATAAATAAACTCCTACTTACAGAATTTTTAAGCTGTGCACCAGAACCAAAGCTCAAATCTCCAGCAGGGATGGGCAAAACTTTTGAATCAACAATTGGATCTGAAACAGGATCTGTTGGCATATCATTTTCCGATTCACGTAAAATAGCATTAAACATCGCAACATCTAATCTGGAGACGCATTGTTCCATCACCTAATCGAAATAAAGAAAATCATATTTAATCTTTCAAAGAAAATTAACCAATCAATAATGTTATTCAACATAGATAGAAGGGAGGGAGGAAGGTAGGGAGGGACCAGAATATTGTGTAATTTATGTTTCTAAATGCCAGATTATCATATGTCATAGAAATTGCTAGGAGCTACTAAAAAAATTCATGCTAGTTTTTCTCAAATGAATGCCTGTGACTTTAACTTGAAAACTACATCTTTTAAAGAACGGTACTAAAAAGACATTTCAACTTCATACCTTTCTTGCTAACACAGGCAAGCAGCCACATTCATGGCCCCCTGACCGGACTGGACAGAGTCTGGTAAAGGCATCATGAAAAGCACTGTTCCAAAGGTTGATTGAAAAACTTCCTTGCTCTTGATCACCTAGAGCTGGTCCTAACATCTTTTCATGGCCTCTTGTCGGATACACATTATCCATTGGAGATTGCATGTGTGGAGTCAAGGTCTGGAAAGACAATCATTAACAGTTTATGTATAACTATAGTACCTTTTTAAAGCCTAGCTGGCCAAATATTACAGATAATTTTAAGCAATAAAATAACATGACAAATTTCTGAGCTGTATGAAATAAACAACATTTACATCATCATTTATTCCTCCATAACAATCATATTAAATTATTACATAACTCTTGTCCTCACGGGCAATTTTACTTTTACGGAGTACATACCCAGAATCTCACTGATTTATGCATGGATAGTGAGTTTTAGATACAAATAGTAAGTTACAGCTAAAAACAGAAAAGTAGCAACCTTTGGAAAGCTATTAAACAAAACTAGTAATGTGCTTGAATGTAAGCTGATGGTATGCTTAAATGGAATACTTGCTGAAAAAGAAAAATGAGGCTACCAGTATTAATATGTTTCCTAACAATATACACTTCAACAAAAAAGAACTAATAAGAATTTACAAGCACCATTTATAGAAACTAATCATAATTTGTAGAATCACAAAGTTCATAAAGTATATGCTTATGCAAAATTAACCAAGAAATGAAATTTTACCTGCCACCATACTGATTCAACAGTACGAGAAAAGATCCAAGATTCAATCTTTTCCAAGGCGGCAGTAAATGTGCCAGTTTCTTGCCAGTCATTTACTTGTTGCGTGAAGCTAGATCTTTTTGCTTGTTTCTCACTGGAGCCATTTTTCCATTTCGACTGGGGTGATTTACCATCTTCTTTCTTGCCATTGGCCTGGATAATTCTTGCAGTTGAGTTTGAGTGGGACAAATTTCCAAATGATTGAGATATAATTTCTCTTAGTACAACTGTATTTGACAGCCAGTAAGTTAACCTTGAATTGGGGGGGAAAAGATGTTAGTACACAATTTTTTTTTTCAAAATGCCTAGGTCTGCAAATGTGTTACTTAGTTACCTAGAAACATCATTGCCGCATGATTTGGCAATCAGCACAAGTCCAGAAACCGTGTTTTTTGCAACAGTAGCCCTCTTTTCTTGTGCCCAGTGCTTACAGGCATGAAGATACAGCCTTGAAAGACGTCGTGCAGGTGTGTGGACCTTATGTGCTGAGTTCCCATGCTCTGGTACCATGGAGTACAGAGAAATCTCAAGGGCAGCAACTTCTCTTAATTCTTCCTCGAGTCTATCAATTTTCTGTTCCATCTCCTCAATCTTCCGAAATGTAATTCTCCTGTCATCTTCGATGCTATTCTCATCCGTACCAACTGTTTCGTCATCTGTTCCAACACTCTGATCACATATGGGAGCCTCATCCAGAACATCAATCTCCTTAACATCTTCTTTCGTCTTGTCATCACTTTCTTCAGATAATTCTGACGGAGGTTTTGAGGGAACTTTCACATTGCCAGGTTTCCCGTTATTGAGAGCTTTAGGAGTTGAAGAACCTCTGCTGGGTTTTTGAGCACTTCTTTGACCGCTATTTCCCGTCTTGAATTGCACCTTACTAGAATCCTGTCGTTTACTACCGCTTTTTGGTGTACGAGTACCATTCTCAGCAGATTCTTTTCTTGTAAGCTTTCTGGATACCCGTGAAGCTCCTTTTACCTTGTTGTCTTCATTGCTCTGTGATGAAAGAGAGTCTCTTCCAGGCTCATAATCTGATTCTCCATTTTCTTGTTTGACATCTTTCTCAAAGTCACTTGAACGGTTTTCTCTTTGTACTGAGTTATCTTTCGCACCCATTTCAAAAGATGTTGCATCCACATGCACCTCTTCAGACCTGTTCAAGTCATTGGCATGACCTTTGATCATTACTTATCCACATATGCATGACACTGCAGTCGGATCAGTTACAGAACATCTTAACAGTTCATCCTCGAACTGGAGTCAAACAATCCAACTTGCATATGTAACTCTCAACAGACGTCCTCTTAACCGCAAAATGACTGGATCATGAGAGGGCTTTGAAAGTTTTCACCTGAATAGAAAAGACTTTTCTAATTCAACATTTAATCCATCATGACCCATATATCACTGTTATCTTAAATAGTAACTCACGATTAAAATTAAATATTAAAAGTAGTCCTTTTCTTTTTAAAATTACTAACAACAAAACTGAAACACTATTACTGTTGATGGTAGAGCGAACTACTGAATTGGTTTAGCAGATTTTCAGGAAAGAAAAGTGAGAAAAAGGGAATATCCTGTTTTACTGATACTGGGTAAAATGGACCCAGATATAAACAACTTAGTACAATCAAGTTTAAAGATGACCATACTGAAAAATCTGAAAATTCGTAAACACTTATCCACTGAAAATAGTAAAAAGAACATATAAACTGACCATGACAACAAAATATCTTGTGACAAGTACACAAACCAACATCTCCCTTCTTATTTGAAACTACCACATGGAGGATCGTACTACAGGAGCATAAGCATGAAGTCTAGAATCAATAGTGAGGAAAAAGAATCTTAATGAGTGTGTTTTTCTAGAATCTACTGGCCGTGCACCAAAGAGAAGATAAAAAAACCAAAATTAAAACAGAAGACAAAAGGGACAACTAATATTATATTCAGCATATAGTATACAGCAGAGACGTAGAGTTCATAAAACCTCCACGCATAAAGTATAAAATCATCTGAACAGGTTACTGAAATCATGACAATTTTGTAAAGGAAAAGGTTCTGATTAGGTAAGTGGACATGGAGTAATCAACCATAAAGGAACATTTTAGCCAATATAAATCTATTGCAAGAAAAAAGCATATCTGTGGATTTTATTGTTAAATTAAACACCATGAATTCACTACCTATAATATCACATGTGAGTAACTAGAAAGAGATTCTAATCAGGGATTTTCCTGAACTCTTAAAGCTTTAGAAGTAGAACTAGAAGTCACCTTTAAACACACACTTAATAAACACACAAACATAATCAACTTAAGAAATGATTAAGAGATCTTGCTTCTACATTTTTATTAATCAAATGGATATGATCAAATAATGAATAATCTTACATGATCACATGAAACAATGAAGACCGACAACATTCAAGGACATCTTTTTATGCTGCTTGTCATGTTTTCACATTTTATTGTTCTAGAATATCGTGGCAGTAGTTAGTGGACTATGGTGTTACTAATACAAGAAATTTGAGAAAATCAAAAACAAGAAATCTCATGATGATATAGAAAAACTACCGGATAAAATGCTTTATTGTAACTTGAAAAGGAACATCAGAGCATCACGATAAATTTACACTTCAATGTAGAGAACAATTTCTCCTTACTCTATAAAAAGTGTTTGACTAGTATAGTAAACTAAACCTACCTTCAGAGTATGGTTGGTAGAATCAAAACTAAATTGCTGTCTGGGGATAATGAAACTGTGATCACAAATTTACAGATCTATGGCAGTGTTATCGCACATTGACAACACAGATCTATGGAAAGGGATGGAGTCAAAGTTTGTAGATTATGAGACAGAGTTTTCAGGCTAGAGAAAACTTTCCTCGACAACATCAAGTCAGAAAATTAATAAGAGAATTGCGGGAAAAAACTAATAATAAATAGAATAAGTATCCGCAATCAGTGGAGGGAACTTTCACGGTGATAAAGATCAATGTTTGACCCACATGCTTTTTATATGGCCATGAGACAGTAGACCTTCTATTTCATAAGAGTAATGAGTTATCCATACATCTCAATTGAAAATCACCCAATTTTTTTTCCAAATAAACAAGTAAGAATACAGGTTATTATAAACTTGAAACAGAACTAAAATTCTACACAGACGATTGGCGTGTGAACCTCTCCTTTCTAAGGAAAAGGGAGGGTAAGAAATGCAACCAATCTTTTTGCGACGCATACCATTAGCCCAGGACCAGTAGTGTGTACCAATACCCGGATTCCCCATTATGCTCTGAAGGCAAGTTTCCTTGAAGAGATAAATCATATTATTCCAACATTGTCTCCTTAAGATTCCCAAGCAAGTTATCTTCGGAAAAAGAAACAGAAGAAAATAAACTAGAGAACAGATGGATCAATGACTACAATGCTGTTTTAGTCAAGGTTTTTCATGTATGATTGGTTGACCAATTCCCAATTCAATGATTCATGGTTTCATTTTAACTCAACCTTGTTACCCTTTTTATCTTACTGTTAGTCTGGGACTTTGATCATCTAGCTGTTACTCTCTTAATCTAATATGCATAACCTGGTTTGTGGCACTACGGTAAAAATTCAATCTGTCATCTAACAACTGCCCCTAAAAGGAAGTCCATGGAGTATACTAAACAATCTGGTGAAGTGAGTGCTCGTTTAAGAAGAATGTTTCCAAATAAAGATCCTCGACTAGAGATTGAACATTCTACGAAACAGAAAGTAGATTAATAAATCTTCAGGCATCTCTCTTTTAAACTATACAATAAAAGAAATTTTGAGCAACTAACACAAGCAATGGAGGCTAAACAACAATCAGATGAACTATTACAGAAATCCCAATTATAAAAACACGACTAAGTTAATTCCCATTGTACTCCAACAGTGCATACGAATCCTAACAACAGGTGGAAAAATAATTTTTTTAAAAAGGCACAATTCAAACTAACAATAAAAGTAATAATAAGCTCCGATCAATGCTAACCACAAACTGCCAAAACATAAAACTGCTTCTACTGACATATATACATAGAAATTTAAAGCAACAAATTTTGTAGCAACTCAACCTCCAATCGAAGCAACAAAAGCAACATCTCCGACTCATCAAGACTCGGATCTCATGATCCCAATCCAAACCGAAGAAGATCGACGACCAACCTCACACTCTCCCCTTCAACTTATTACTGATCTCAACAACTAAAGCGAGGAAACAAATCGAGTCACGAGAAAGTAAAAAAAAAAAACCCCTTTAGAAACGCCAGAACCCAACTTTTTCTACAGATCTCGACTAATACGACAACTAAAGGACGACAAAAGCGATCGCAAGTCGTCGAACCTTCAGAGAATCTCGGAAAGAGAGCAGCCGACAAGTAAAATCAAAAGGCGAAAAGCAAAGGAAAAGATAAAGAAATGGAAGAAAATGGTACTCAACAACGAAGAAGCTTCAATTCTCCGAAGGTTCCGCCGCCCGAATCTGCAATGCCGACGGACTCCAAATCGTTCGATCAACGAGATTTGATCGGGATTTGAGACCCCGGGCTCCTGAACTCCGCGCTGCTCCCTCTCGCTCGTGAGCACCCCTGCGGCTGTTACCAATGGGGGGGGAGAGTGCGGGAGTTCTGATTGTTTAAAGATGATATTAGGTTCTGGTCACCGCCCTAGGACAGTGTGGGAGGTGACCGGAAGCAAGCACGATGCGACAGGCTGCCTGCTGCAGCCGGTTACTGGTGACCGGGAACACGGGTTAAGGGCGTCGGTGCGAGAAAATGACCGGTAGGTCCCGGTTGCTTCTATTTACAGGCTCGCTTTAAGGCAGAAAGCTAGGGCTCGGAAGTAGATGGAAATTACGAAAACAGGCGGTTCGCGTCGTCATCGGGCTTCGTGCTGGTTGTGGGCTGTATGATTTGAACCCACGAGTCCGTAACAAATTCGCCGCAGTTATCGAGCGAGGCCCACGGAATTTGTCGTCGGGTGGTGGAAAATCAAGTAATCGGGGCCGTTGGTTACTGAGGATCTTCGACGTTCGAATTAATGAGCTAACCTCCAAATAGAAAGACGGATGATGATACAGCGACACGAGTAGCGATTCTTTTGACGAGGAAATTTCATATTTTTTTTATTAGCTTTTTTCCACTTTCTATATTTCACTAAAAATTCCAATTTGTCATTGAAGAGTTTGATTTTTGGACCTCGGTCGATGGTCACGAGCTCGGAACTAGATGAAAGAACCGATACGTGCGCTCGCACAATTTGATATACTTTAGGCATATGAGATGTGCAAATTTGGAGGGGAAAAAAACAAACAAACAAAAAGGTCTACGCTTTATGCACGTGTTGTGTCCAGCTGAAGACTAGTTACGTTTTTCACATAGGGAAACGTTTAAGGAAGCATGAGTTGATCGCAATGAAACTAAAACCTCGTTTGGGTTAGGTGATCTCCAACCAGCATCTAAAAAGGCAAAATCTCTAAATTTTAAGAGTAGAACCTCTCCAACCACTCTCCAAATTTGGAGATCTTCAAATTTGGAGGGTGAAGAGAAATTTTGGAGAGTCTCTCCAAAATACTATTGATGTTTCATTAATTACAACTTTACCAATTTGAACTATTTAATTTCTTAAAAATTATCACTTTGCCATCATTCTTAATAATTTAAATTAGATGTTTAATTTCAAATAAATATAGTTAAAAATTATTAATCTAATATTTGAAATTATTATATATTTAGAAAGGTCTCGTTGAGATCTTTAAAATGAAACTAAGATTAATATTTTTTTAGTATTATTATGTTGTATTGCATTATTAATATTGGGTTCATTTTAAAACTCTCATCGACACCTTTATAATGTTATAATTTTTTTCCAAATAAATTATTAAAAATAAAATTATTAATGTAAACTATATCCAACATTATTGATTTATATGGCTTTTTGACAAAATAAAAATAAAAAGGAAAACATTTAGAGAGTGTGGGTTGGAGCAACTCTCCAAATTCTACCCTCCAAATTAGAATATTCCTAGAATATTCTAATTTGGAGGGTGAAATTTGGAGGGCATGGTTGGAGATGCTCTTAGTTAAACAAGTCCGGCATTTTATGGTGTCTTTGGCTTTTTTTCACCAAAATTCAACAAAGAACGGCAATAAATAAAAAAAGTTTGGTTTTACCTAACATTTAAGTTGCTGGTGTAGGTGAATTGCTTGAACATAATGGAAGATAGAAGCAATATTAATGGTATCTAACGATTTGATAAATGTTGGCTCTAAAGTTGTTGTCAAGTACGTTCCTCCATATTTGGCTTTCTTCTCGTTGGGATCCCAAATGTAGTTTATGCTAAGGCCTAAAGTCACGATGTGGAAAAGCCACATCCATGGATAATATTTAGCAAGCATCTTTTACGATATGTGGTCCATTTTCAAATTAGATGGAACTTTGATTTTTTTTGCACATAAGCATAAAAACCACGTCAGTCTATGCAGTTCTGTGATTTGCGAAGCATAAGAGGAATGCAGATAAAAAGTGGTGACGTCTTTCGGTTTCTTTCCGACATTGTGGAAAAGCTCTGTCTTAACTACAGAACCTTCATCTCTTATTGTATTCTTGCTTCTCTAATTTTAAGCTTATATATTCTAATCTTCAAAAAAATTCAATCGTCTCTGATTTAGAGAAGGACAGGGAGAGGGGAAATCGTCGTCTGTGTAACTGAAACTCATATATATGTTGAAATTGTAAATATATTTATTAAGATTATCCGCTTCACCAACCCTATATTATAAAATGAGGTTGTTGGTTAGGGTTATGAGATGGACACCCAAATAAGTGGGTGAATAATACATATAATCTTGGAGATAAGATATCCATAATCTACCTAGTGGGGAGGTCTTTCTCTAAAGCCTTGTATACATATAAAGAGTTTTTGATGATGGGTACGAGAGAGGACCTACACCATAAAACTTCATATAGCCGTCATCTCATTCTCCGTTCAAATTCGTGCTTTGTGCAGTAGTCGCGGGGTGATATGTAGTGTTAGCCTAACAAAACAAACCGTGGGGCCCACAAAGGTGGGCCCCACAAAGAAAAATGAGATTTCGGTGCCGTTTTCTTTGAAGAATGAAAAAGGTGGCGGGTCCCACCGGGTCCCATAAATATTTTATTATTAGTGGCGGGTCTCACAGATAATATTATATTTGTGCATAGTGTTTTCTCAAACACTATAAATAGGGCCCTAAACTCTTAAGGAAATCTCATCCCAGAAACAACTCCTCTCATAGAAGAGTAAGAGAGAAAACACAGAGAAAGAGATTGTGAGAGTTCTTGGAGTGTATCTGATCAAGAGAGTGTGTTCTCTTTGATCTATTCTTTTGGGATATATAAGAATTTGGCGTCGTCGTTGCACCGTGGAGTAGCTCCGAAGGAGTGAACCACGTATATCTGTGAGTACTCTGGTAGATCTTGTGCCTTTATTTTGTGTATTGCGTCTCCGTTAGAGGCGTTCTTAATGGGGTGTATCCTAACAATGTAGCGGCTTCTCGCCAGCTGCACAGCGTGGTCTCCCTCTGACTGTTAATCAAGAAAGACATAGCGATTTTATAGAAACGGTCTGTTTGGTAGACCCTAAAACTTATTATTTACGTTTCCTAAAAGCATGCTAGGATTTCTTTTTTCCCCCTCTTTGCATAATCTAGTTGTAAATTATCCCTATTGCATGCATGCAGTTTGGCATTAGAGCCAGTTGATGGCAGTTATCTAACATGGGATTAAGTATGGATTGTTTAAGGTGCTGGGGTCCTCAATCTTCTTTAGATAGTTTGTCTTCAAGAAGCGAATCACATCCCACACATGAACAACATGTGAGAGGGTTGGAGTTGTGATCTCCGATCATTCCTCCGGCAATCAAGTTAGTGTTCAGCTGGAGTGGAGAAGAAGAAAGACCATGTGGTGATTTTTAGCAAGAAATTGTTTACCCTAAGTAGTAAATAGCATCTTTCCTTTATAGTAGATCCAAAGGGCAGATGCGTAACTTCGGTTGAATCCAAGTAGGTAGCTTAATCGGTAGCTATTTTATATGTGTCGGCTGCAGAAGGAGATGGGTTGCCTAGGCGTTTAATGTGGTGGTGACGAGGTATGCATGGCGCTAACAAGGTTCGATGAGTCATAATGACTTTTGGGACTAGAGCAATAATGATTCTGATCATGAATTTAATGTGATGTCGATTGACTGTCGACGGGGGGCTTGAGGATAAACCACCTCCTAACTCATCTCTACAAGAGGTTCGGTAAATGATGTCTTTTGTCTCGATCATGCGAGGGAGCCGATAAGTACCACCTTTTTACTCGGCCTCAAAATTTCTCGACCCAACCTTGTAGAGTGCAGAGGAGTTGGGTCAACTCAAATGGTGAGTTTCGAGTGAGGACGTCTTTCGACTCGGCCTAACTTGGGAAGGGTCGAGAGTTGTTGCCGTTCGAGTTGTCTTGTATAGGGTGAGGTTGATCTGGTATTGAGTTAATAAGGAACACGTGTCGGCTCCTCGTAGAGAATTAACACTTAGCCATTTTTCTATGATATAGCATTGCCCCTTTTACTCGAACTTGGTTAGTCGAGTCCGAGTAAAACTTGAACAGTCTAATGTTGGATATTAAAGGTACGTTTATGAGAAGACTAACAAGTCGTTATTGATGTGATGTTCCGAGGTCATTGGAGATCATGCGTCGGTGTCGCCTCGTTCAACGATCGTTGATGGCATGTTAATCGAATGGCAACGCTTTGATTTTTGAGTGGTCACTTTAAATTCCAAGGTGGTTCTTAGCCATCCGTTAATAATTGAGTCGATCATAATGATCCCGCCATGTACCCTCCTCCAAGCCTATAGATATCCATTCTTCTGAATGGCTCATTTATAAATTTTCTGAATCCTTGAACTCTCTAGATTTTGAGTGATTTCCAAACTACTCCCGATGATCTATCTTCCAAATGGCTTCCTTTGCTACCACCGTCATATGTAATGAAGCTAGAATTGATCTGTTGAGGAAGTTTCACTCCAAGATGTGCTCGATAAAGCTCGAGAGCTACTACAACCCATATGATATCCCCTGCGAGTTCATGTTATCAGCACAAGAGAGGAATCAGACTGTGTATGACCACAGTGGTGATGTTGCTCCAGTGTACATCTGACACTTGGAGTATGGCCTCCATCTTCCACTCTATCTCTTTCTTCGCTGCACTTTTGAGGCTCTAAGGGTCTCGCCTTTTCAAATCAAATCGAACTCCATCACCACATTGGTAGAGTTTGTGGTAATCTGTCACCGGGTGGGAGTCAAACTGACTCTCCACATTCTCATCCATCTTCTCAGCATCAAGATTGAGAAGAATGAGGGTCATTACTATTTCTAAAATC